ATGTAAATAATAATGAAAAAAAAAAAACTAAAATTGAATCACCTTGCAAAGACGACGAAGGGAAAAGTTATTAAAATATTGTAGGCGGCTCTCGTCGCGGACCCTCGAACAAAAAATAAATAAATAAATTCACCTTCAATTTACGAAGAAGCACATCGTATTTTTTTTCCAGCAAGCGTTTATTATTAACAAAAAAATCAAAAAAAAAAAAAAAAATCCGCTTTGTAACAATGTTATTAATATTTGTTAGGCTCGCTATTATTGCGGGGCACGCGAAGTTTGTATATTACATTGCTTGCCCCATACAGTAGTGTACGAAAATATAAATAAAACATGTTGTGCTTTAATAACGCCAAATCGTTTATATTTAAGTATACATTTATATCGTTAAAACCCGGTAATATTTTTACTTCATAATTCCATTAAAAAATCAATATTAATATAATAAACAATAAAAATAACCATAATATAATTTTAACTAAAATAAACTTTATTAAATTTTTTTTTTTTTAATAATGTAAAAATATGATATTATATAATTATATTCTTTTTTTAGACTCTGAGTATAACGATGAACGTATTGATTTTACAAAGATGTAAGGTTTTTTTTTTGAATAATGTGTGGACAACTTATTGTAGAAAAATAATTTGATAGTTAACTCTGAGGGTGGTTTCATGTAGAAAATTGAATCTAGTTGATACTTTTAGGAAGTTAAATTTGAAAACTCCGAGTACTTTTCAAAATAATCTGGAAAAATAAATTTTACCAGTTTTTAACAAAATTGATTTTCTATTTTCATTGTAATTAAAAAACGAATAACCGTATAGATAATTGAAATTTTCATCAAACCGTCATAATATTATTATATTAGTATTTTCTATACGTTTCCTATAATTGCATTGATATAATTCAATATAATATACTCTATTAGACTCTTTTAGACTATTTAGGTAGGTACTACCGTTAAATAATTGGCACAAACTAATTTAGGTTTGAACAATATAAAATTATTAAAATAATATAAATAGCACCAGCCAGCAGTAAAATATTCTAATAATTATTCATAATAATAATTCTGTTGAATTCTTGCTGCTTGATTATCATAATTTTATCAAAGGCTGAATATTATAATACTGTGGTCCATGTTTTAAACATAATAAATAATATTATAACCATTAAGAACTGTGGTATAAACTATAAATACAAGTTACAATGAGTTTATTATAATTATTAATAATAATATTAAGACAGTTTATTAATTTAATTGACATAGGTGTAATTGTATTTAATAATACTCTGTTTTGAGTTGTGACTTGTGTTACTATTATTTCAGCAGGCAATATACATAAAAATGATTATTTTAGTCACGAGCAGTGACATAAGTCAAAATGTTTTCAAGTTAATACTTGATTAGTTAATAACATAATAATAATTGGTCTATTTACAACATCTACCAAGCATATTTTAAAATAATAAACAGCATAGGAAAAATTAATAAAAATTTGATTTGTAATGTATTTTTTTGAACCTTATATAGCTGATTACCAACAGTTGTGTTTTTTGAGTTGGGTCACTATTCTTTCAGTAGGGCAAATTATGTTTCATAAATAACACTATTTTTTATAATCTCTGAAATTTCCAAATTATTTTGTAAGTAAAATTTCAAAAATGATGCAATTTTATCGCCTAAAGTTTGAAAATATAATACAAGATTCTTTATAAATTTAATTGCTGAAAATTAACAAAAACAAACTTAAAACCGTGAAAAACCCAACAAAAATGGCGCCTCAATTTGTTTCAAGTTATTTTCACACGTGTATCCAACCTTATTTTATAATATTATAATATTATGTACAGCCACGTAGGTATAAGTGCGTATATCGTAAGTGTAAGTATAGCGTTTGAGAAATGCTCTAGAATTTTAATTTAATTTCTGTACGCAATTTGTTGGTTTTCAGACATTGTATTATTATTTATGTTTTTATTATTAATTTTATATAGAAAGAGCGACGCGTTTGCGATAAAACAAGACTGTATAACTTCCGCACAAAGTCACCCTTCAGTTTACTCACAAAAGTTTCAAAATAAATATATTATTTCATTATACAATACCATAAGTGTTTCATTCGGAATACCGAATCACACGGTTGTTCATAAAAAAAAAAAAGAAAGAAAAACGGAGAATGTTGATTACAATTGTAAAAGAGATTTATGGGCTCGACTACTTCGCTTGAATACGCTTCTTTCCCCGCTCGTCGTGTATGATTTATCTTATCTATATACACAACTAAAACTGATGTAGGGTATTTGCCTCCGTATTTTTATTTTTTACTACTTGGTCAACCCCCACTAAGAATTAGGGCCGTAGGGACGACAAATCATTGAAATATAAGAGAGCAGTTAAACAATTTATACGTACACATATATATATATTACTAGTATGATATTATTATGTCCTATACATGTAAAAAAAAAACAACTAAAAACCGTCAACAGTTAGTTATGTGAAACAATAAATTTTCGTCAGTAAAAACGTTAGGTATTCACGTACATACTTAATTTTATTATTTTTTTTTTTTAACGAAAATTAAAAATTATTAAAGCGTATTATATGTTGAATTAAGTTATAATTACTAGCTAAGGACTATAGGGTTATGACCTTTTTTAGATAAATGTTCAAAAAAGTCTATATACAGTAACAGTAATATATTGAATTAAAGAATTATTGTGTTTTTAGGCGTATACACACTTATAAATCACTTAAATAATATACTTGAATGCTTACTTTTTTATGAATCCGAACCGACTAATGTAAAATTGTATACAAAATTGGAATTGTTTTGCTAAAACATTTTTCCAAGCCATGTTTACATTCATATACAAAGAGATAAAGTATTTGTAAAATAAATTATAAAAATAAGTTAAATTAAATTAACTGACACACGCTATAATTATAAATATACATAATTATATAATATTTTAGTTAGTCTATTAGAAAATGTTGAACGTCATAGAACGTCTATAGATGTCAGATATGCAATACTTACAGTCTATAGATTAGACAATAGACGGGTACTTAAATGTTCACAGTTGATATAATATTATATATCTACATAAAATTAAAAGACTTAATGTTTAATCAAAAGTTACATTTTATAGGAATAAATATTGTGCATAAGAAAATTAGATTATTTTTTTTTTTTTATCAAATATTTTGAAAATTTAATATACGCATCAATTACACGGACCATTGGCTTTAAGTATTTTTTTAAAGTATTTGTTTTTTTTTACATTTTAGGGGTTACACGTTCAGTGGAAATTCGATTACATTATGTTAGATATATTGGATTGTATTTGACAATATTTATAGGTCCTTTCTTATATTTCTGAGCTCTTTTATAAATTATCAAATAAGCGATACAATTACAAATATATACATTCAGCTGCTTACCTAGTAAATAACCGTGTTACTAAGTCTGAAAAACCCGTGATGGTACAATAGTACAAAACTATTATAGGTGAATAATTTTTTTCCTTATCATATGTAAGATTTTATTACAAATATTTAATAAAAATATTTAAATATCTCTACAAATATTAATTTTTTAATTACAACAAGAAAACAATATTGGTTTTGCGTAAAAAATCCTGTTTTTCCAGTTTTTTCCTCATTTTTTTCTTGATTATTTTTACAAGTACAGGTCATGTTTTACTTGTGATGTTCAAAGTAGCAACTGGCAACTAGATTTATTTTCTAACCAGAAACCACTCAAAAGTTGAAAGTTGAATGAGTTTCACTTCCACAAAATATGGCGACAAGCCCTCCAAAAAAAAAAAAAAAACAATAAAAATAAAACACATCATTGTAAAACCAATATCTACATATTTATTCATCTACTTTGAATCTAAAAATTATTTTTAATCTGTCTTAATCTGCTTGAAAATATACTCATACCTTTACATTTACCTATATAATATTAACTAACAGCTTAAATACGAAGAGTTAAAGCCATACGTTTTTGTAGAGCCCGTGAATAAAACGATTTTTTCACAACAGAACACTATTTCAAATAAATTACTACCTATGCTTCATTCAGAAATTTTGTGTCCTGCAGGGTCAAACATAATTTGCCACCTCTTACTTATAATATTATATGCTTCTGCATAGTGGGCGACGTATTCTTGGGTTTAATCATAATAATACGCAGACAACCAGTTTTTTCTATCCGTGGTGATCGTTGATTCAATGTCACCCAATGTATTTAGAACTACCCTCACTAAACTGACATTAAGTTAGAGAAAATTACAGTTTACTGGTATTACTAGGTATATACTGGAACTTGGCCGGCGTACTACCGTTCGCTAAGATATAAATGTAAGTCACCTACTATGTACCTATTTATTCTATGGATGATAATTCAAGTTCAGGCAAGATAAGTTGAACAGGAAATAATAACCACGACTGTTGCACTATAAAAACGTAACATTCAAATAATAATTACCTACATACATCATAATATTTTGTCATAGAAAACAATTTAGTTATATATATTTTTTAGTAACCAACCCTTCGGACTTAATGGTGCTAATTATCCCTGCAGTGATCAGGCCAGTAAAAATTCACCAAAGTACGTGTGTAATCCACGAGCTTAAAATTTAGTATAATCGCTGAATGCACTTGGTTTTTTCAATATTATGAGAACAACAAGAATACCACGAAAAACAAATGTCCACGGGATTTTTCATGGTAATATAAGTATGTTTTTCTATTTCCCACATAATATTATAAGGAATGCTGTACAACAATTACTATCGTTCGGAGGTAGTGGTGGTAGAGCACCGGTCTAACTTTCAGTATAATATAATAACTACCTACTTAATTTAAATAATAATAATAATAATAATAAATAACATCGTCGACGACGATTGCGCGACGACCGTGAAAAATAAATTAATATACGCACAGGCGCGTTCAGTTAGTTTTGGTTCGGCCACAGTCATGATGGGCCGACAACAGCGATCGTCGATCTATGACGCATTTCCAGCGATGTGCCTGATCGTGACGATTTGCCTCGTAGCGTCGACGACCACCTCAAGAACGACTACGACGACGACCGCCGCCGGCGCCGACTCATCGTTGGTCGCACGCGACCGGATACCGGGTAGTCGTACGACCCGGACTACCGCGGTCGCCGACCACAACCTGCACAGGCACCGTCGGTACATCATATTGACGCCCGTGCGGCAACAACAGCAGTCTTTGTGGGTAAAATCGCAAAAACCACTCGTCCGTATGCGGACGTTCGACCAGAAGTACGGTAAGCTGTTTCCATACAATACGCGAAAGATTGACCGCAACAACCGCTTATGACCACGGCGGTCGTATAACCGAAACGGTCGCTGGGACGATCGGACGATACCCGATCGCGATTTCATATCGTATGTACTGCAGATATACACGCACCACGCACGGTGACGAATTGCCGACGATGATAAATAGTTATAATTACCTATAATTAATAAAACATTATTTAAACGGCTGATGGTACGCTGCGGTGATGCCGACGCGGTGGCCCTGCTGCAACAGGTTGCTGACACTTTCAAACGGCTCACGTGTAAATATTATATACTATTGTTATTTTATTGTTATCGTTAGGGCTCGGAAGTTGATGACTTAAAAACCATTTCATAATGGTTTGATCGTTACAAAAGCCATACAAAGAAACTAGATAAATAATACTTTGCAAATTAATTTTGAATTTTTATACATCAGATTAAAAATATCAAATGTTAACAATAAATACCTAGAAAAAAATACAATACAATTAAAGAGTTCAAAATTAAAAATGCTTGTCTAATATACTGTATTTGTTATGTTAATAAACAATAAATATTTTGTGAAATGAATAATTTTAAAATAATTTGATTTTGAAATAATTTTAATCTTAATATTTGACATGAATCATAACTGAAAATATAAGTCCTTATTGTAATATGTGGGAATCTGACTAACCGAAAAAAATTACCTGATATAATGAAAAAAAGACATTAAACTGTCGAATAAAGTCTTAAGAACCAAAGTTAGCAAAACATATCGCTAAATAATTTATTTTGATTTGTATTTAATTGAAACTCATTTTTAGGTAGTAAAGATTCGTCTAAGATGTACTAAAAAATTCAAAGTCATCAACTTCATAGCTCAAATTTATCAGCTCTAGCTGCAGGTTGTTCATCTTTTTTCCTGTTTATTTTATTTTAGAATATATGGAAAATCTGTACGTATACAATATAATAAGTAAAACTTAAGAGTAATGTTAAAATAAGTAGAAGTATTTTGCTTGAGTACAGGGAAACCACTTCAAAATCTGTTTTTTATCTGTAAAACTGTGTAATATGTCTTTTTAATTTTTGCCAAGTATTTACAAATTAGATAAGTATCAAATATATTGTTACTATATTATTATTTTCATGTTAAATTATTTTACACAAAACCTTACTAAATCATACTTCAATAATTGTTAGATAGGAAGTTTATCGATTTTTATTTTCATGTGTTTTATTATTTTTTAAAATAAATCAATTTAACCGTAAACTATTCTGTGACTGTAATAATTAAAATGTGTTTTAATTTTGTATGTTAAGTGTTATATAAATTATTTTACGACATTAAATCATATAATACAAAACATGATTTATTGTATATTTTAAGTCACTAATTACTATTAATATTTATATACATTTGAAATACTAAAAAACTTTTTTGTACATTGCACATACTTCAATAAAATTGTATAATTGTAGCATAATATTTAGAAGAGTTTTATTGATGTTAGATTAAATGTCTACGAAAGAATTTACCTAAAAGTATTTTAAGTATAGTCCAGTGCCACTCACTATTCATGATTTGAACAGCTACCTTGTGTAGAATACACCTAAATTATGTGTAGAATATCAGTAAACAAATATGAGAAACAAAAATGTGGTTTCTCTTGTTGCCGGATTTATGTTAAATGTACTTAAAACATAGTATAATGCTCTGGCACGTGATTTTGTTTCATGAACTGTTCAAAAAAAGGTAATAGCCAAAATATTTTATTGATACAAATCAACTCCAAATGTACACAATGTATGAACGGAATAGTGGACTGTAGACAATATTTGGGTGGTATGCCACTTCTACACCGCTCATATGAAATTAAACATTTTCTCTGTCATTCAAAAAAGTAAAAACTTATAAAACGATAAAAATAAAAATTTAATATTATATTATACTACCGATAACGTAGGTAATACTTTTCAAGAAAATGAGTGTTTATCTTTTAAAAAAAATCACATATTAGTAAAGTGCCGTTTCAACAGATTTTAAAATGTATAACAAGCATAATATTTTGTTGGGTGTACCTCGGGTTGGCTGTAACGAGATTTAACAGTATCGTTTTGCAATCTAGTGTGTATAAATATGAAAAACATATTTTAATTTGATGACAATTTGTCCTGTACAGGTGTAATACAATTAAATACATTACTTAAGGTGTATCATGCATAATATAGTTTTGTAGTTCAGTTAGTACCTACATAATACAACATAACATTATTATGTCTACATATTTAAATAATGTCATTGTTATTGTTACCATTATTATTATTATTATTATAATAATAATACTTTATAACACTAATGAGATAGTATTTTGGTATGTAGGTATACATACTGTACATACCATAAACATTTACATTTCGTCCGATGACGTAAGTGAATAATATGTCTGGAGGGGAACAGTTTTATACTATTAAAGTACCTATGTCCTTAATTAATAATTTTATAAAAGGCGTAAAACTTAAGTTTTGTTTAGTCTTTACCATTAGAAAAACCGAGTACTTCATTAATTTAAAACACTTATAGGTAGAGGTGCATATTTTGTGCTGACTTCCCCCTAATCCTCTTAACCAGACATAGATCCATTACCGTTTGGTATCGAACGATATAATAATATCAATAATTTAAATGTAACAGAAAAATTCAACAATTATGTGACCGACATTCTATTCGACACCGAATTGTTTTTTTCAACTACATGAAGAGGGATTTCTGACTTCTGTGCTACTTTTCTAACACCCATGTATATTATTAGAATACTATGGCTACGAAGCAAAACATCGTAAGTCTAAGTTAAGAAAGTTCATAGTACCTAATAATGCCACTATAACCAGAATATCTATCAACATTTGGGATTTATTCAAATTTTTCTGATTGATTATAATTTATAAGTTATAACTTTAATTATTTAATTTATAAGGTATTTATACACATAACACGTGTAATGTCTAGATGAATAGATTACTTTTTATACTCAGTGTACCCGTTGGAAAAAATTGAATTTCAAGTTATTATAGCTCTTATGATAAAATCCGTCGTTTGTCATAATATAATAATAAAACTATAGAATTATATTACAAATTATTTTTTTTCTTAGGCCGCCGTTATATAATTTTAAATTATACCGCTGAGAAAGGGGTTTAAAAACGCACCAACACATTTTACTGATTCAGGTGCTGATCTGACATTTTGATTAGCTTTACTCGATTTCCATTCATAAGGATTAATGATGAACTATAATATTTACGATTTAATCAATATTTTGTTTGGCAAAAAACGCATATTTTTTTATACGTTTATCACGCGTGGAACACACGGTCTTCCTTGAGTTGACCACCGTGATAGGTTTTTCGGAAGAAAAAAATTGTATATTAGGTATGTTAAGTTTTATACTACCATCGTTATACCATAATATACGATATCCGTCTTGAGGCCGATTATAGTATTCTTAAGATCGTTCTGGGAATCGAGTGTAGGTACTACTGTAGCAATTTAAATATACACACGCATAAGATATCAAATGTTTTAATTGAATAATAATTTGACGTCGTTATTTTTTTATTCATCATCTAAATTAGGTATAGATAAAAATGCTGCAATTTTTTTTTCTTAAGTTCATAAATTAGAAAATTATTTAATGACGAAGAAATCTGAAAATTAGATATGAATGAATCAAATGTTGAATGATTGTAAGTTTTTATAATTTCTAGTATCCGTTGGGATAACCAAACCCTAACCTTAGTTGTTAGTGATACATTTTTTTTAGGTCAAATGTAAATTCTTACAAGATTAGCCTATTTATACCTGAAAATAAAAGATAGTGGGGGCGGAGTGGCCAAGCGGACTAAGGCTTCGGTCACGACACACACCGTCGCCGGTTCGAATCACGGTTACGGGTGGCACTTCTATTCGGGCAGACATATGTTATCTGTAAATAATAAAATTATTATAATGACAATTGAAAAGAAAGGAGTACAAGTGGGTATAGTGGATAAAGTGAATATACCGCTCTGCTGTACAGTACTCAACAGTAGTTGTAATGGATGTGTTATATTTAAATACAATGATAAACCATTGTATACGAAAAACGATTCTGAGCCGTAACTGGGTTTACTTTTCTATCAGAAAAGATGCTGATCTCAAAAATCGAAGCATGCTTAATATCGAATTCTGACACACAGAAAAAAAAAACACATCATCATTGTAAAAAAATACATTATTTCAATATCTGAAATATTTAGATTTCAAAGAGTACCAGCTATTGATGTAACTTCAATAATCGGCGTATGTTTGTATATTATGTGACACCTAACGATCTAACCTTTCGTATTAATATCTACCTATTCTGAAGCGGCCGTATACTGCTGCAGAGGCATTGCACAAAACAGCGAAAAAATAAATGATGTCAACAACAGCAACGCGTCCAGTGGAATATAATATAATGTAGGTACATAATAACATCGAGCGTTATATCGACGGCGAGGAATGCGAACAGTTGAAATGTACACCGTATGGTTCATCAGGCACTTGTTTATATACAGAGTGTCTCAATTACACGTCCATAGGCGCCGACTTGTAACGGATTATTCACCTATATATAATACTTACTGTGCAAATAGTAGGTGTGACAAATCTGCGTTCTAGGATAATTTAAATTACGTTTTTAAATAATATAAATCTTCTTGTGCAGCTGAAGCTCTCTCATTTATACCGGTCGTTTCGAGTTTACCACAAAATTTTATTTTGAGAAAATCGCGTTCAAATGTCAATACGATTGTAATTCGTATTCAATTATACACGACGATGAATGATATATTATAGGTAGACGGCCGGACAAACTCTGGGGCGACACACGTCTTGTACTTTATACGTGCGTGCACGAAGGTCGGATGACAATACGCCTATTCATATCATGTTATTGTTATTACTATTCGGTATCTAATCATCGCAGCGTTTCCGTGGCCAATCTTTTCCGCGTGTTTTCCGACGAGATAGTTGTTGTCCTGCAGATTTGGCGACGGCCCGTGGTTGACCATGCAGACCGAATCTATTCATCGTAATAATCGACGTAAAATATGAACACCGTCGTCACTTCCAAACCCGACTGCAGCGGTCGTAGGCAATTTTTTTAAGCGAAATTTCTCTTCCTCGACCTCCTCGGCCATCCGACCCAGGACTACCCCGGGTGGTCCCTGCACCGACGATGCACCGACCCACTGCTGTTGCACTGCTGCAGTGCATGGCGATCTTCGCGTGCCAACTAAAGTCGTCATCAGAGGTCCCGAGATCGGGACGTTCCATCATCGGAGTGCCGATGTTCGCCTACGACCGATTCGGCCATGGTCGACGGCAGTCGGTGGTCGGCTACGACGGACAGTTCAGACAAATGTTCGAAGAAGCCGCTGACGACCACGATTGTTGCGGCGCTTATAACTACTCACCGGAGCGCAGCACTGCACAACTGCAGCCGACTGGACCCGAAAAACCGCGTAATACCTATATACCTACTTACTCCTAGGTTGTCGTAGACTATAGTAATTATTATATTATTGAACAAATAATAAGAACTCGTTTATCATGCAAAACGTAATGTGTGCATCTAACGATTACAGTATTAAAATAATATACTATTTAGTTGAATCGAACGCAAACGACGAACTTTTTTTCATACCTAATATACAAATATATAATATACCTACCTAATATAATATTGTAGACGGACGACAGAATACTTACTGTATCAATCGTACAATCGTACCTATTTACCGTTGTTTGAATTATTGAAATTATATACTATTATTAATCGAACGCAGTACGGACGTCGTTATTTCAGTCACATTTGCAGTATTTTGTAAGACCGGACAGTGGCGTAGCTAGGATTATGAAATGGGGGGTGTTCAAGTATAGATTAAATCCATAAGTCTTTACAGTTTTCGTATATAAATAAATTTAGAGTTCGGGACTTGGCTTGTTGCACTAAAAATTATCGAAATATGCAGTCAAAATTGTCAAAATATGCTTAAATATATGCAGCTATTTTGAATAAAAATAGCCGATTTTTACTAACTAAAAAATAAGGAGGTATATAAACATGATACAAATAATTTATACACGTGTTAACTAATTTTAATTTAGGTAGGTACTTATATTGATTAATATGATGGACGTCGGACGGAGGACACTATTGCAATTTTTGGACATTTTTAAACTATTGAGAAATAAAACAACAGAATTTTTAAAAATACTGGCAGAAAATACTAGGTTAATAATAAGTAAATAAGTAATAACGAATAACGTGGTATGGTAGGCACAGTGAATCCGTGAGAAACGACCCGGATCTACTGAATTTTTCATTTCTTCGAAAAATCTAGAATCGAGATTTCAATACTATAGTTTTTAAACACAGTCTGGGTCACAAAGAGACCTTTTAAAAATCGTACGTACCATAGCCAAAGAGGGCCAACCGTAAGCCAAGCTCCACACACTTTAAACAGCCCTCCCCCAAATAGTTAAGAAATTTGGTTTAAGCTTTTCAATTTATAATAGTATGATTTTAGGCTTCGGCCTCCCCAATCGCAAATTAGCGCCTATTGTACCCAACCAAACATAATATTTTTAAGATATTTTCATGTTATGCAAATATGATTTTTCCCACATTGTTGTACTTTAATGAAAAAAAAAAAAAAATATGCACAAATATGCGAAAAATCGCTCAAATGTACACTTTTCCTAAAATATGCAAAAATATGCAAATTCAAATTTTCTTTCATAATAAGACATATAAAAAAATTTCATAAGACAAATTTACAACTTATCTAAAATAATCTACAACCAGTGACCACTACAATAAAACATGCAAGCAGTCCCGAACCCTATAAACAGTATATTTATTAGCGGGGAAAATTTCTATGGGGGGTGTTCAAACACCCAAATCCCCCCACTGGTTACGCCACTGAGACCGGAATTCGGAAATCGAGTTTAAGGCTTCCAAGAAGTAGTATACATGTGTATATAGTATATACAATATTATATTCCCCTTGAGAAACTCTTAAATCTTCTTTTTTTTTAAATTATAATATATTGAAATGATAATATCTCTTCTACATATTATTTTCATTGAGGTTGAATGTAGACCTTTGATCAAATACATATATACATTTTTATATCTTGTATAATATTACTATCTTAGATGTAGCCATTGCAACATAATAATATGATTATGTTTATAATATAGTCGTTAACAAATTCAGAAAATGTTACTATTTAGATATTGTCTTTGTTTTGCTTTTAGTTTAATCATCACTCGTGCTTATATAATAATAATACAAAGTGAAAGCATTTAAATTAAAACTTCTTGGTACGTATCTTTTTCAGGGAGCGTAGTAAATAATGACGCATGGTGGTTGGCTGTAATTGAAAATACCAATAGAAACAATCAACAAGTACAACGTGAGATGGAAAACAAGGAAGCGTGGAGGAAATATCAGTGGGTTTTATCATATAGTCAATAATATTTAGATAAGATTATTATAGATTATTAATGTATATAATAATAATATAACTACCTACCTATAGTTTGTGTTGAATTAATCTTACATTAAATTTCCTTCTGGTGTAAATAATATATAACGAATACAATGGTTGTTGTTGTAATGATTTTTTTTTGTCATTTAGATATCTAAAAGCCTGAAGTACAAAATTCAATATGTAATACAACTAAGATAGTAAATTATAACATAAACAAATTAAATTCATAATCGAGTGTATACAAAAAAAAAAAAACAGATAATTTAAAGTAGCTATAATATACTAAGGTATATAATTTTGTTAAAATTCATAACTTTTCAGGCGTATAAATATGAATATGACTGGACCTATGTAAGATTAAATATATTAATTGTGAATTTATAATTACATTATAATATTATGTTGATAATTTGTGTTCAAAAAAACTTTTGTCCCTAAATGTTACTATTACACTATAACTATAAAATATAATTATTTATTGCTAGATTTGACGGGCTGAGCCCTTTAACAGCATTGCATGCATATCACATATATATAAAATACAATAACCAAAACAATACTATAAATTTACAACACACTAAAACACACAATTTACAATACAACATAATATAGTTTGTGGATAGTGGAATGGAAAAAGGGACAGAACGTCCGACAGATCGTTGAGGTAGGTACCTTAAAACTACGAGTATATATGATTATAATATTATACCCCACGTCCCAAAAGTCCCATATAGGTCCTACAAGGTTACAAATTACCTATAATCGTAGCAAATTAGTATAATTGAACGCTGTGTTTTTAACAAAAATCGTTACATATATGTTAAATACAAATCGTGTGTGATTATAAGTTTTTGAATTTTTAAAAATATCGATTTCAGACTTAGAACTGAGCAATAAATATATTAATTAATGATTTTAAAGTAATGTGTGTGTTTTTTTTTGTGTGAATGTGTTCACAAAGAGTACCTAGTTAAAAAATGCTTCGATTTTCCTCTTTTAGGGTAGTTTCTGATAGAAAATCGGATCTAGTCGATACCTACTTTTGTATGTTCAACATATTAAAATCCCAATATTTTGCTCACCTTTTTTATTGTATTTTTTAAACAATTAAAATTGATTAAACATCGATCAGGTTGTAGAAAGTTAAGTGGTTTTGATAAATTTCGTTAAACTACGAACTAAAAATCCTTATAAAAAATTACTGTGGATTTACGCAAATATTTTTTTTATCAGTAGGGATACTTGTTTAATTTGATAATAATTTATCTACTACTATTAATGTCTTGTCCGGCTTTTAATCGTACTGAATGTTGCAATAACATTTTATTCTTTTGATTGGTATTTGGATGCAGTTAAAAATATATTTTAATTTTATTATAAACGACTCAAAACGAATCAAACATTCAAATACGATTCGGAATTACACATTGATCAGCAGTAAGTAACTAGTTGAAAAAAAAAGTAATTAAATTATAATGGAAGTCTTGATTACCTACATAAAAAACGAGACACACAGTTAATGTGATCACGTATATTTTCTTTTGCCCTCTGGATTCGATAATTGAACAACAAATTACACACAAACATCTAAGTCCGGATGTGTATCCTTTTCGGTAAATTAATATAATTTTATTTCACGTGATCGTTTCAATTCGAATTTTAAATGTTAATTATTTATTATTATAATTTATAACCTTTCACATTATGTTTGGTTATTACACTATTCAATCGCGAAAAAATGCCGAAAACAATGTTTACGAACACTGTGTTCAAACAGGCACGTTTGACAAAACAATATTTCTCGAAGCTTAGGGTTCACAAACAACATAGCTAAAACGTTGGTTTTGTCTAATTCTTCATAGTACGCGTGAACACGAGTAATTTTTTTTATCTAAACGTCGAGATATGCAGGGTGTGAAGTTTGAAAACGGCGGTCATTAGACTATTTAGGACTGATAAACGATAATACTATGATAATGAGGTGGTTCAATTTTACCCAATAAAATATGTGCAGCAGTGTCATTGCTATATTATGTAGGTAAACACATATGCAAACACTAAACAGTAATTAAAGCGTTCCCAAATTGTTTGAACATCTTGTCCATTATATTCGTTACCATAATAATATTATCACGTTCAAAATTATTATAAAATATCCTTTTCCGTTTGTATTTTTAGAAATATAATTTAAGGTTTGGCGTATGTATGTATTTATGTATACTTACATAAACGATGTATGTGAGTAAGTATGTGTGTTATTTATACTTGTACGGTTAAATTATAGTTATATAGTGCATATACGTGAAACTAATTATACATTAGGATGAGTATAGTGTCGGGAAGTGGGTAAAATATTCTAACTATTAATATCATTTTATATTTCATATTTGTATTTTTGTCAACAGTAGTTAGTTGATGTCAAAAATAAGTGATACCAAAAATAAAATTATGGCAGAAATAATGATAACGATTCACTTAGGGTCGTGGGTCGTTTATGCATTGTGTAATGAATTCGAGTTCCAAGATATATTTAGGAAGCGATCTTGTATTGTTGTTGCTTATACGGTGGTGCTACACCTTAAAGGGAAACCGATTCAGAACTTACGTCATGTTCATCCCACCATTATAAAAATTATATAAAAAAAAAACAGCAAAAATTCGACAAAATACAAGTAATATTATAGGTAATATTCTATCCTTATATCTTGTACATTAATAAATCTAGCTGTACCGATTATTGCCATTCTACTGTTCTATGTGAATTATTAAGTCCGAGGAAACACTACATTAATAAAAATGGGCCACGTGAAATACCATAATTGATTAACATAGTCAACGTCCTAATACAATGTCATTATAGAGCTAAAGTGGTAAGGAAACTTGCATATTTTGCTATAGTTTTCGATATAATATAATATAATATATAGTTTTCAAACTTTATTGTTTAGATGGTTTTAGAAAATCTTAATTGTTCCAAAAATTCGATACTCA